TCCCCACCCCCCATCCCACCTGTTCGCCGGCCTTTTCCCCGCCTGTTCCACGTGGTCCGTGGCCATTTTCCGCCCGTTCCACGTGGTCCGCGGCCATTTTCCCCCCGTTCCACGTGGTCCGCGGCCATTTTTCCGCCCGACACGTGGTCCGCGGCCGTTTTTCCACCCCTGACGCGTGGTCAGCAGCCGTTTTTCCGCCCCTGATGCGTGGTCCGCGGATACCGGAACAGATTAACGGTAATTACATTGAACCTTATGGGAAAATTTACTTGCGACCAACTCGACTTGCGATCAGAGTCACGGAACGGATTAAGTTCGTAAGTAGAGGTACCACTGTATTGTCTTTCTGCCATTGTTTTATAGATGTACCAAGAGAAACATAATAAGCTGTTGATTATCCACAGTGTATTTGTGCAAAAAAACAAAAAAAAAACTTTTAATTATAAAAACTTGCCAATTTCAAAATTATAAGAAGTTCCATTATGATTATACTCAACCTCACCAAACCTATTTCCCACATACAGTGAGAGAGAGAAATTGAAGCAAGGAACAAAAGAAACTTAAAACCAAACAAAAAATTAAGCCAAAACTATTTCCATTTTGTCTCTTTTCCCCACTTCCTAGAACTTTTTGACATTAACTCATATTTATTTCTCTGTTCCTTTCCATACTCAGGTAGGTGGCAGCCTCTACAGTAGGTTATTTTAGCTGATCTTGAAAAGTTTAAATAGTGCTAGGTTTGGATTTAATGACCAGGAAATGAGCAGTAATCCCAGGCCTATAGGCTGGATTCAGGACATGGAAAAAAAATCTCAAGAGAAGGCAAGACAAACTACTTCCGCAATGGTGCCTAGAAAATTTCATGGACATGTTCATATAGATTCCAGGAGTCAGACTCAGCATGAACAAGCTTTCTATCCAGACCGATCCAGGTCTAACTGTACAGTATTCTGAACGTACACTGCTTCTAATGTTCTTGTCATGACTGGGCAAGTCCATAAAATTGACAATGAGAGTGGAAAGGGAGATAGAAGTGAAGGGTAATGGGGAGAATGGGAATGATGGGTCTAGGAGAAAGAAAGGGGATCTGGGAGGGAGTGGGGAAGATTAACTTGCAGAGAATCCTGGAAGAGCGGAGAGAGAACATACACGGGGAGGGAAGAGAAGGGGAATTTCACAGCCTGGAGCTCTGCTTCTCTTTTCCTTTCTGCTTACGGACTGGAGGACTGCTGCTTTGATCAAGAGGCCTAATTTAGGTTTTATTTTATGTTTTGGCATGCTATGGTTTCACCACAGTGTCCAAACTGGAGTGCTGGATGGATATGCGTTCCATATGGATACTCCTTCCAGCAATCTTGATTTCTCGGCAGAAGCCTTGGGCAAACAAAGCTTGAGCCCTGTGAGAACTCAGTTCAGCCTGCTTGGACAAGCCAGCTGTGAGAGTAAGTTCCAGCAGTAATCTGTATTGTGAGGCACCAAGCGTCCGCATGCAAAGCCAGAGTCCTGTGAAAACTGGCAGCTTGTGCATGCAAAGCTGAATTGCTGCCAAAACCTGTTCCTGCTGAGACTGAGTTCTAACAGGACTCTGATTTTGTGTGTGTACAGGGAATAAGAAATGGGATAGGAAACCCATGTAATGTTAAACTGACAGCTACCTCACTCACTAGACCAAGGGAAAGAGCTCATTAATTTTATTCATTGAGGAAATCATAGAAATTCATTTATCATTTTAAGAGGTTGTGGCACCACAGAGTTTGGGAACTCTGCAATAATATTTAATTGTACTGGTGAAATCTGTTGCTCTTACAGGGGTTTGAAGAGTCTGCTGAATGGGATAGACTGGTATGCAATACAGCGACGAATCCCTCAGAAGAAGCAGAGACATTTTTTTTAAAATTAATGGAACTCAACTAACAGAAGGTGCCTCAGCATTATTCTTGTGGAAATCCTGATTCCCCATGTCACAGCCTGTTTTCATTAGCAGGAACTTTCTGCACAGCATTTTGTATGCTGGATTGGTAATGATGATGAGGGAATTAAGAAACCTGCTTCCACTTGGCAAATGGCCTGTGCCTAAAACAATATTTTGTATATTATTTCTTCCTTTGCCACAGAGTTACTGAGTCTAGAAATGCAGGAAATTTATTTCTGGCACACTGTCATATTTTAATTTAGACCTTGTAGCAATGTCAGTATTCTTCTAATCTCAATCTTTTGTTGGGCCTGCATAGGTTTGGTCTTAGATAGCAAAGAAAGACCCATATTCAGTCAGCTGAAGAGATGCTGCTGAGTTGCAACTTTTTTCATACAAAAGGAAAAATAATTATTGTCCCCTCTCCATTTTTGACAATACAAAATCAAGCTATTAAAATCAAATGAATTTCTGTCCTTAAATGAGACCCACAATTTCCTTAAAAGGTATAAAACAGAAGATTTGTGTCTTTACTTGGACTTTAAGTTTGAAAACCTTCAGTTCAAGCCACTTTTTCTTTATATCTTAAGAACGACATATTTAGTCTATAGAAATGAATGTTGTTCTTCAAGAAACAGGTACACCATTATTCAATAGATATTTGAGAATTTCCATATTAAAGGATAACAGCTGTGGTTTATACTGCAACTTATTTCGCTCATGTATATATTCATTTATTATCTGTAAAGGCTGCTCAGAGCATTTATTCTGATTTCTATCTCTTCTTGAATATCACATAACTTCCTCAATTTTTTTTTGCACAACATAAATATTTTTGTTTTGAAGAACAGATAATACTTACCGTCTTCCTGTTATAACAGGCAACAGGTCATCCGATTTAGCTTCGGTTATTTTAAACATGACTTTTTGCAAGTCGGATATTCCCACAGCCATATCTTCTAGCATCCCAATTTCCTCACCTATATAGAAAAATTTCAGATAAAAAAGAAAAGAAAATATAAGTGACTAGCAACTCTGCTTGGTTCAAGAGGAAAAAAAACATTTAAACCAAATATGGCTGTCAGTTTTTAACATTAAAATACAGTCGTGTGAAAAAGAAAGTATACCCTCTTTGACTTCTATGGTTTTACGTATCAGGACATAATAAAAATCATCT